TTTACACCCACCTGCATTTAGCGTCGTCCACTTGTGATTTAATCGACCAGGTGTAGGCCTTAGAAGCAAGCACCTATTTATTCTATCTAAGATACAATCAAGACCAGAGGGGAGAAATAAAAGACACATTTTTTGGTTTTGTATTGTTTTTCTCTTCTTCTTTTTTGGCAAAAACATTACTGGGGTTGGGTTGGATACAACCTCTCGAAACAATTGCCTTCCAGACAGGAGCTCTTTTTACACTAATTAAATAATGGATCATAAGAACCATTAGGATTGCACAAGGATCAATAAACATTTGTGGCTACTATACCTTTTGTTAGCTCAGTATACATCATGGGTATATTTACCTGAACATTCTGAAGCCAGGTTCAAAATGCTACAAAGTGAAAAGGGTGCAAAAAGCCAGGGCTAGATTGAGTAAAGCTGTCTGAAACTTGAAGACATTAATCAGTCAAGTTAGAGCTCAGTATAAACGAAATAAACCCTTTTTTGATTGTCTCTGTAATGCGGAATCCAATGTGATTTTTGCTTTTATCATAATAATTGAATGTTTGAGGTTCATTTGGCACAAATCAAGGGGAACATATGCAGAGATAAGGAAGGGATATCAGCAAAGCTTTTGATAAATAAAACAAATGAGAGAAACTGTGCCCAGTATTGATTTTTTTGCCTCATCTTTTGTGTACTTTACTGTGGAACAGTAGTAAAACAAGAACAGCTTTTAACCTTTCTTCAAGATGTGTATGAGAAACTAATCCAAAATTAATTGATATGTACAAATGTTTACTCTAATTCAAGTATCTTTCTGCCTACAGAAATATAATTGATGAATGTTTTCCATTTATTTCTCATTTGTTTCTAGCTGCAGGACACATGTAAAGGATGCGGTTATTGTCAGAGCCGAAATGTTGTTAACAATCGCAGAAGCTTCTCCATCACAACAAGAAGCTTATGTTATTTGAACTCGCAGCATTTACCCTCAGCACTTGAAACAAATTTTCCGCACAGCTGTTACTTTTTATCACTTGCAAGAATTCCTGAACTCTAGATGCAACAGGATAAAACAAAATGCAATGATGCTTTAAAAAAGACTTCTGGCCATTTACTTCTAAGGTTCAATTTCCACATTGTAAGCACCATTTTTCATTCTATTGACAAAACCTCAGTTTGGAACCTTAATTTCACCATGAAATCAAAATTCTTTGACATGGACATGCTTGACATGCTTTTCGGCATGGGGTGGGACAACCTATCACTCACATGAGATCACAGCAATAGCAAACCACAACCATCAAATTCACAATGGACAAAATCATGCCCTAGTTTTCTCACTCAGATATATGTCACAAAAGGGAAGAAAAGACTATCATAACTTCGGTTTCATGCCGACTTTAAAGTCACCATGAAATCAAAATTGACAATTATTGATTGTTGTTTTTTTAGAATATTGTTGTATTTATTACAAATGATTTATCCGTGCACATTAATCTTTTTTTTTATTCCTATACCCTTGTAATCTGTTATCTAAATGACTTCCCTTTACTCTTGCAGCAACATCTCTTCTCTTCTCTGATGATGTGTTTACAGGTGTGAAGGCCGGACAACCTGTAACTCACATGAGATCACAGCAATAGTAAACAACAACCATACAATGATCCAATCAATTCTTAATGGAAAAAATCAAGTCCCGGATATCAATACATTCTCACTTCCAACTGTTACGTCACTTATTACCTTCTCATCTATCTAATCGTGTTCTAATACTTGTTGTATAAAAGAGGTTCTTACTCATGTGGACACAGGCTCCACTCAGAGATTGTAGAATCTGGCGAATGTGTTGGGTGTAGCCAAGCCTGCAGCTCTGCAGACATCTGTTAGCAAGGCGCCATGCACTAGAGCCCAAGAGGACGCCACACTCCGTGTGGACTGGGCAGTCACACCAAAGGGGCATGTTCGACCTTGCTGCTGGTATGCCAAAGCAATGGCGTCCACTATCCAGTGAGACAGCCTTTGCCAGGAGAAGCCTTTCCCTTTAGCTTCCCACTGTAACAGACAAAGAGCTGGTCTGATGTTCTGAAACACTGCGTACTATCTACATATACGCGGAGGGTGCGTAATAGACAGAGCAGTGCCAAGGCTGGGTCTGCCTCCTCCAGGGGCAGTGCTTGCAGGTTCACCACCTGATCCAGGAAGGGAGTGGAACCTTGGGCACATATCCAGGCCTGGGTCTCAGGATCACGTGAGAGTAAGCCGGCCCAAATTCCAGTCATGCTTCATACGTGCAGGTCCCCTACCCTCTTGATGGAGGCCAGTGCAACCAGGAGCACTGTCTTCATCGACAGGAACTTAATCTCAACTGATTGCAGAGGCTCAAAGGGAGCACTCTGCAGGGCAGTTAGAACCACTGAGAGGTCCCAAGAAGGAATGAGATGAGGGCGAGGAGGATTCAGTCTCCTCGCTCCTCTCAGGAACCTGATGATCAGATTGTGCTTTCCCACAGACTTACCCTCAACCGCATTGTGATGTCCGGCAATAGCGACAACGGATCAGACTCGTTATGCTAGCACACCCAAGGATGGCAGCATAGACGAGCCATCTCTAGAGGACTCCAGCTCACCTTGTGATACGGCGATATACATGATTTCATCAGCCGGGGGACTGAATGAGATCGCAGGCCAGCCGGCGGGCTGGCTCGGGTCGGCGAACTCATTCGAAACCGCACGGGTTGCAATGTGAAAGGTGTGGACCGAGGATATTTCGTCGGTTTAGTTCCAGACCTGCCGTCTTAGGTCACCCTGGCCACCAGCCAAATTATTATATCACGTGGAGAAAATAGATCAGGGTGTGGATGAGGGGACTCTCGCTCTGTTAAGCTCATTGAGTCTCGACCGTTACATTGCGATGGTCTTGTTCCCGCTGGGAGAATGCGACACATCCACGAACGCTGTCTGAACGTGATCAAAGCTCAAACACGTCAAAACAGCGCTCGTGTCAATCAGCTGAATCTATCAGAATACCCCACTCATAAATACACGGGCAGATCGTCTTTAGAAAGACGTACAGTAGCGTGTGCACGCTCTTTTTGTGAGAGAAAAGCTTGCAGCAGTACTGAAGCCCCCAGGGAGAAACACAGACGCTGTTTAGTTCAGAGAGGAATGTGAAACTTGCTGGAAATCGCCATCACACCAACACCGACTGGAAGCTGGTCATCTAGAAGATTTTTGAAGATAGTCAGAGAATAGGCTGCAGGAGTGAAGAGAACTTCTTGGCTCTGAGGCAAAAACATATCTGCATATTACCATATTACCTTATCCGCATATTAACTTCATGCGGAGTTACGCCATGCAAATTACGCCATGCAGACAAATGCATGGCATTTTCTTGCCATTGGCTCGTTTTATTTCTTTCGAAGATGAGAGGCTTCTAAGTGGGCCATTCGTCGTCATCCCACGTAACTCGGAGTGACAACGAAAGGGAACTTAGTTGGATCCAGTGTTGTTTTGGACTCAACTGACTTTCAATGAGTGAAATGAAATGAATTTTTTATGACAACATGAGAATTAGTACATTTCTTCATTTTTGTGTGAATTATCCTATTAAAGAAAAGTGAATCGCTAGATCCGTTCCTAAGGTTTTTAGATAACTGCATGAGAGGAAACCTGCACCGCACCTTTAAATCGACTTACTGTACAATGTCATTGCTCAATATTTTTTATGTCTCCCAAGGCTGATTTTATTACCACATGATAGGGTCAATAAACCAATCCCTGACTGTAATCGGCTCATTACTCACAGAAGTAGATTGCACCCACTGAGCTATATCTTTCTTTTGCTTCCCACTGTAGGCAGCTGCCTCTAAAACTCTGACTGGTTGCTCATAAACTCTTGGAAAGCACTAAGGCTCCACAAAGCAAAGAAAATCAGGTGACCTTACACAGGGGTCAATGTTTTAGCAATTAAAAACAAATTGAATGATTCCTGTATCTTTACGCTCCATATGCCTCATATGTCTGTTGACCAAATATTATTCTGTTAAAGGATATAAAAGTTGTATTCAATGTCAGACACAGCATCTCTGAATTAAGTAGTTAATGTATGCATGATCTGAAATACAGTGCCACCTATTTAATCACAATTCTCTAAGACAAACAAGTCCTCACACTTATCATTGAAATTCATTCACTGTCTGTTTAATAACTCTATTGATTGCCTCTTTTCCTTATGCCCGCCCGGCAATACTGTGATCCTAGGATCAGGTCAGATGTGTTTGCCATGTTTCTGGTTAGATGAGGCAAGTCACAAAAACCGGTTCTGAATCATCTTAGCAGCTTGCAGCTGTGAATTGTAGGTGCATGTATCGGGGAAACAGCATGGGCATGTGTCTGTCTGTCTATCTATCAAAGCCATTCACTTTCTGCTGCATTTTAATGGATTATTCATGTGAAGCATCCGCCCAGTTTTGTTCCATTTGCTTGCCCTTATACATAAAAACACGTGATAGAAAAGTCCTAATAGAGTACTTGACAATATTAAGTGCCAACTCAATGTGAATGGCACGTAATGTGTTGTCCTCTCGTATACGCTGAGACTCGTACTCGTGTACGCACTCTGTTACATTAGTGGATATGAAATAGGCTATGCTAGTGCAGAGCTGAAAAGCATTTATATTTTAAAAATGAGAACCACGCATATTTTATTTAAAACATGAAGTAGCCTACGGCAAAAAAATATTTATTTGTTTTATTGACAGGTCTTTTTTGTGACTGAATGACTGATATCAACATAACAGGTTATGTTTCTGTAATGTAATGCAATGAACGTGCCGTTTACGACTCTAATGGCCGGAAATCACCACCTCTTTCAACAGGTTATCTTTCAAATTAATAAGAAGTCTAGTTTTTAAAGCAACTATGTATAAATAGCCTTTGCTATTCAGGTGAAGCCAGGTGTTTTTGTGCATCGGCAACAGATAAAGCAATGTACATGTCATCTCTTACCTTATAATAACATACATGACGAGGACGTTGCCCACTAGTCCCAGCACACACACTATAGAATATAACGTAGTGATGATGATCGCTACTACAACAGGAGTTGCGCCTTTGTCCAGCTCTGCCGTCCTGTCACATCTGGAGCTGTTCATGTTCACGAGACCGGAGCTGCTGAAGTTTCGGCAGAATCCACTGCCATTCGACAACGCAGGGTTAGAAAGCGCATAGAGAAGGTCTGAAATGTTGCCAGTAGTTTCCATGGCAAATGTTGTATGGGTGAGATTCGCCCAAGTTATTTACGCGCGCGCGGTTTATCAGTCACGTTTTTTATATCAATTTCCTACCTGTCCGACTTCAAAATGCTCGGACTCTCAACTCTCAACCGTTTACTGAAGCAGTCTGATGCTGCTGTTGCTGCTGCTGCTGTAAGTGTACCTAACAATCCCCTTTGTTTATGACTCTATGTTAAATCTATCACCGCTGTTCTTACATTACCCTCGTGAAAATGTATCGAGCGTCGCTCGTAGCGCGTATTCGCATTTTATTCAACAAAATGACGTCACATATATATGCACATGACTAGAGGCTTTTAGCAGTCGCTGATGGCTTTTGCAGTGATTCCAGTGACTTTCTCATCAGTGAAGCTGTTTGAATTTAAAATCGCTCTTGTGCATCTGCATCTCTAGCTGGGTGTATACGGCTTAATGCCATATTTAGGCTACAGGTTGTGAACAGGCTTCTATTCTATTCTATCTTTTATAGGAACTATAAAAAAGGAAATGAAAACAAATGGTTGAGGTCGTAAAAATACATCTTTTTATGAGGTTAGGCTATTCAGTTTAACGGGGGTTTCATTTTAATAGCCTCAAAAGTATAAAGTAAAAGTTAAACAAAGCTCATATTTTCATCTGGTGATAAACAGAAAATCTGTGGTAACCACGGCAACAGTTGAAGCTTGAGAATAATATTTGTTATCTTTAGCATGGAAAACTGACTAAACTGTTGCAATACAATACCTGTATTGTCATTATTATTATTATAATTATTGTCATTTAAATGTCATTATAATAACACTTAGTCTCCTCATACATGTTGCACATTTTACAATAAATATGAATTAATAGCTACTGATTTGGCTTTTGTTTATTTTCCTAGGCAAAATTTAGGGAAATGTTTATTTGCTTTTTTGATGGCTTTAAGGCTTGTGGCATATTTACTTTCACAAGTAAACTGACCATGATATTATTTGATTTACAATATTAATTTACTGTAAATCAAATATTGTATACCAACATGTATTAAATGTTTTTTTTTCAGGATAAAATGAGTAATTGACACAATTTGATATTATATTATATGATATAAGATTATAGTCATGTAATATTTCATTGAGATTCAGCATGTAAATAATCTGCTTTGATTTTGCTTATCATTTACAATTGCTTAACAATTACAGAAACAGAAACATTTTAAACATTGATATAAATGTCACATTTAGCGGTGCCTCCATTGGTGTGAAATAAGTTGTCTGATGTGTTTCTGTCTCTGTATGTCTGAACGTAATGAGTGCTGTCAGTGAGCGCTGTCTGTGATTGCTTGTGTCTTTCATAATTTCTTCTCATGTTCAGATGAGCGTAAGGAAAAACGGTTCCTTTCCTACACAACTAACACAGTTCATTTTTTATTTTTATTTTTAGGGCTCTGTTGAATAATGAATAATAATCAATATTAAAAGTAATTTAAAAGGAACAATATTTTAAGACATAAAAGAACGTAATTGTATTTTAAGGTCAATCTACCCACTTACCAAAATAATAATGCAGGGCCCTTTGATTTTCAATATAAAACAATAGTGTTTTCAAATAATTTAACTGCCACGTAACTCTTAACTTTGAACTTAACAATATAGCTTATTGATATATTGAGGCTGAGAGACATACAAATTTTACTAATGGTCTCTTAACATCGGCGTAGAATTTATAGGGACGCTAGGGACGTGTCCCTACCAATATCCAGTGACACTGATATATCCCTAGCAATAATTTCAATCAGAACGTTTTATATTTTTATATATTGATGTCCCCGTCCCCACCAATTTCAAAAGAAAACCTACGCCACTGGTCTCTAATGATTGTAATGATAGTCTCAAGCCACTGAATCTTTTGAATCCAATGAAAGGTATACAAATGACTAATACAAATTAGTTTCCCTCCATCAAAGACAAGAAGAACTCAGAGTACTCTTTCATTTGAATGTTTTATGTTATCATGTAATTCTGTTAGTATCAGATGTCAGGTGTTGCAAAGTCCAAAACAATCTAATAGTAATTGATTTTAATTATCCTAATGTAAATGTCTGTGACATCACTTTCCTTTGAGAGTTTTAAGCAAGAAATTATGTTCTGGGGACATGTTGGGTGAGCATTACCAAGTATTACTTTAACGTAATTTCAAGTATGATCCATCATGCAGAAATTAGTATGCATAAAGGTGCAAAAGAGATCATTTAGTTTAATCCAATTATATTCTGGCACCTGGGTTGCTGAAACAGCATTTGCACAATTGATGTTTAACAAAAGTACACACTGTTCACATAAAATAACTTTTTCATGCCTTTGAGGTGTGTCGGCGTGATTTGGTTTTACAATGCATCTTTTGAGTCATCTCGTCCCTATAAGATTTCAAAAATACTTTTCCTTGCACAAGATTGCATACAAGATGCATACAAGATTTAGCAGATTTTTGCATATTGCTAAGTCTAAGAAGATTATAAAGGGCACCATGTTCTTAGAAATTGCTTTTTCAGTTTGTAGATCTATTGTCTGTGATCCAAGACCACAATGAATGGTCCTATGTCTGTAATTAGAGTTGAACAACACTGTCTCCTTAAAGTAGCTGTAGTTTATGGAGCTGACCCTGATCTCCAATTTTTTGCTCTAATGCCCATTTCTCACAGCTGGGCTGTCTTTTATGCCCCTTAAATAAGATATTGAACTCAATGATTCCTGGTCTTTTTTTCGCCAATAAAGTGGTGCACTAAATTCTAAATATGCTCAACTGACATCTCATCTCATTTAAGATCTTTCATGTTGGATCTGCAAGGCATGCTTCCAGTTTTATCGATTCTAACCTATTTAAAACTGACTTAGAAGCTTTAGATTGTTACAGAGTGAAATTATAATAATGATTGTTGTGTATTATAATAATGATTATTATAATTATTGTTGTGTATTATAATAATCTTCATTATTATAATAATGCTGCTGCTAGCTCATGGACAGCTCTACTCACGCTCTCCGTCTCTGCAAGATTTGGAAGGGAATGATTCAGATTTCTTTTGGCACAGCTACTAGCAGACATACAACTGTCTGTCAGGTTGCTCACGTCACATCTAGGTCATCAAGCTCAGTTTGAGCCTGCGCAGTGCACTTGGCGATCAGGAAGTGAGTGCTTCTAATTGACTTCACTTTTCTCTGTTGAAGTCTACTGAGCTACTGATTGAAACTGAGCTTGACGACGTAGATGTGACGTGAGCAACCTGTCTGACACTTGTAAGTCTTCTAGATGTGCCAAAAGAAATCTGAATCATTCCCTTCCGAATCTTGCAGAGATTGACAGCGTGAGTAAAGCTGTGCATGAGCTAGCAGCAGGAGCAACTTTACAACTCTCTATGGGCTTCTCTCTTGACTTTATGCCTCCACTTCCACCCAATTGTCCGCAAGCTTCTCCATCCGTCTATACGGTAATTTCTTTACTGTGCGACAGAGAGTTGAGGGGTTAGGACGCAATCTTTAGCCTATTTTTACAAAAACCGCTGGGCCATTACGTAAGATACAAAGTATGAGCCTGTTATGCATTGTCGTGTTTCTTTAGAAATAAATAATGATGATGATGATTTATTTGTCTAAGAGAGGACATTTGTTTCCACCATAGATGCATACATAATACAAACACACATGCATAACGTATTAAGAACATGAACATATAAACATCTACAAAAAACAACAAGAGAGCATACTTGACGTATCAAAGGCCGATTCCTGTATTTAGAGCTCGTATAGATACAGGAAACAAACTCTTACTAAACTTGGCCTTCCTATAAATAATGGACAAATGGAGTCTTTAAACGCCTCAGATGTAAAGGTATTCGCTGTCAAATTGACGCAAAAAATGAATGGGAGTCAATGGAATGCTATAGCAGGTGATGGTCTTCTACAATGGCGGCTCCCGAGCGAAGCTTCAGTTTCCGGCTGATGAATTACCCCCTATTACACATCTTCTGAAGGAGTACAGAATCTCCTGATTAAAACACAGGCAAACTGTGTAAACCTGCAAATTAACGTAATGCTCGTCGCTTTAAAAACATTTATTATTTAAAAATGACATCGTCCCTATGGCTTGTAGTGTCTCTGGCCTGGAGGACAATTTACAGTATAGCACTTGCCGGGAGTTTATTTGAATTCTATGTTATTAGACATTTGGGAATACATTCAATATTAATGGAATGGCTGTTTTTGATGAGAAAAAAATATTTACCTCATATTTCAGCAGTGAGACAACTTGAATGACTCTTAAAAGCAGCACTGATTTAGTCATTATTCCTTGGATTGTGGAGGGTTCTGTCTTATCAACTCTTCCAGCAAACAAGCTTGAACAGGAAGACTGAAGTCTGATAAATCAAAACACCAATGGTTAAATATACAACTTAGATGCCCCCTGGGGCAAGACCAGAGAAAATCTCATCTCAAAACATGCAAGATTTAGTCAGTCGAAACCGTTTTGATGTTAATTAATCTAATTGTGTCTGGAAAATAATGATCTTTGACTGAGGGAAAATATGTTGAATATAAAAGATTTTTTATGTGAATATCATTTGAAATATTTTTACATTATGTGCCAGGACAACTAAATTTAGAAATATTTCTATTTCTTTTTAATAAAACATGACGCATTATCCTGCACGCGCTAAACTAGTATCTAAATGTGTTTCCAAGTAAATGCACATTGGGGGCATCTTCCCCTTTTAAACGACTTTGCAATCTTCTGATCCATTATATGTGAAATGTATGAGAGAGAACACTTGTCAAATAGACATGTTTAATAGACCACAGAATTTTCTACTTGGCCAATTTGAATAAGCCTCGAAGCATTTACACTTAGGTCTACTTTAAGCCTCGCAAAGATCATATAGCGTGAATTTAGCTTGTGATGGAAAACTTAATCATACCCTGCAACCTTTTTTTTTAATGCTCATCTCCTCTATAACGATTTAATACCTCCAAATGGTTCCTAGGAAATTAGAGGGCAAGGGTATTGCATTTGTAGGTCTGCACCTCCTGAATAATTGTACATGTTACAGTACATGTTTTTTCCCCTGACTCTAAACATTCATTTTGGATGCATCCATCTGACTTTTTCACCTTCTCATTACAGTCTGTTTGAGAAAAGACAGACTTGCATGCCTGAGTTGCGTGTACATGTGAGTCACTGCTCATGCTCGTCTTTTTGAGATTTTTCTACACAAACAAATTGTCCAAAATAAATGTTATGAAAGCACACATGCATGGAATATTAATATTTTTTATTACTAAAGTGCAGGTGTAAACTTTTAATTAATA